TTGGAAAGATGATTTTAGATTATGGTGTTCCGGAATCCTTTTGTGCTTCTCATTTTGTTATGTAATCTATCCCGAAATCCCAATCCTCCCAAAAACACCCGTTATTCTGCCAAGCTCCCTCCATATATGCATGTTTTAGTAACTCCAGTTAACTCCGTTGTTCACACAATGATTGAACAGTCGATGTTTGTGGAATTCGTGAAGCAAATTTGGAGTAGAAGGCTTAGTTAAATTTGGCTATCCTGGCTGGAAGTAGTAATTGGTTTCCGTAGTTTATGTTCCGAGAGGGCTATCATAGTTTAACTTCGCTAATACAATCAGCCCACCTTCAGCATTGTGTATACAACTGTGAACACTTGCTCTGTTTATATCGTGTCTTTCGTGCACCTCTTATGCAGTACAAAATCTTTTGTTTTCGTTGTATTGTTGTACTCGACAACGATTTATGCATTGAATAAAATCACTTTAGCATTTCGCTTTGATATTGTGTTCGTTTAGACGTTGGTAACATGTGTACAGAGTGATGAGGTGTCTTTTTCTTGTGAGGAGAGCATTGGTTGATCAGTTTTGCAAAATTATTTGTGGTTAATATCCGGACAGCTTTTAACTTTGCATCATACTGCTAATATTATCCCTCATACAGCTTCGTATCGTAACAGTGAAGATGATATTCGTTAATTAAGCCGTCAAAATAATTTTTTAAATTTCTTAAGATCATGCTGGCAACTTCACAGTTTACAGCTTATAATGTCTATGTCTTATGCTAAATTTAGTAAAAAGACTGACTAAAACTCTGGTATTCTCGGCTACTAATGTAGTGTACAAATCTGAGACTGACTGACTGGTTTCAACGTAAAACTTTGCACCGATGTGCAGCAGTTAGAGTCGTCACAATTCACTTAGCACACAGAGCAAGAGAAAAAAGTAAAAGAAATGCAAAACAGAGACAGCAAACAGAGATATGAGGCAAAAAGAATAGTAATATGGAAGAACAATGTAGTTTTATTGGATATTGTAAGTCACAAGGAGTGGATGCATCTGCGCCAGTCATCACTGAGAACGATTTTGAGCCATATCACCGATAATTGTCTCCAGCTGTCATTACTTTTTACCGTCTTGAGGACCCCATCCAGCCAGTCAGGAAGTCTACACCCCCCTACGTGGCTGGCTGGCTGGCTTAAACTAATTGTTGTGGATTTCATTGACTGATGAAGCTATGTTTTGGTCCGACCACCCACCACTAGCTAACTCTTTTCCAACTGGATGCATCCTGTGTCAGGTAACACTGGCCGTCGGTCGAGGAAGGCGATGGCTAGGCATGTATGCGTGACACATGTCCTAACCATATCTCAGCCGATGCAACTTCACAACCTCGTCGATCGATTTCCACTCCCATCTACCTAGCACTTAACCGAAGCCTGACCTCAATATAGCTCACCCTATTATACCACCACTTCACACGAGAGATAGAACACAGACACCTATGATCAAAGACAGGGAGATAGCTAGTCAGCCTTTTCGTGTTTTCCACTTTCAATGGCCAGATCTCACTCACAGCCATAAAGGAGAACAGAGCGGACTGCTGAGCAGTACACCCGGCCTTTAGTCGATAGCCAGCCGGATATCACGTCTACTAAGCCATAGACGGCGTAAACTGGCGAAACTAGCCTTCTGTATTCATGCTGAGATTTCGTCAGCTTAAGCGACTCAAGTGTGGTTGACCATTGTGAAGAATCAACGGAATTCATTCTAAGGCTTAGTCTTTATAAATTAGCTGGTATGTAAGTGATAATAGACTCTAGTGAAGATTACTCACTGAGGTAAAATATCTGCATGCTTTTTTTATTTCAGTAGATTTGTAAAATCTTGAATCCATGCAGATATGTAAAAGCTTATGAGAGGGTTGTCGTTTAAAAATCATAACAACTGAGGGTATTCTTCAGGGATGCATCATGTCACTGTTCCTATCTAACTTTACCATAAACGCAGTAACGAATGTAGATCTATTTACCTCGATGTCTCTAGAGTTGATTTACTACCACGAATGGATCCTGTTGATAATGAAGAGTCTTGTGAATAGTCTGAACAAAAATCTGAATGTGTGTGAATGGTATGTGGTTCCCCCTTGTCAAATGTAAGATTTATTTATTTATATTTATTTAAACGCAAAAAACTTGGTACAATATGGCACCAAGAAAGATGCGCCACACAAGTAAAAAAACAACATAGATCAAAAGTAAAAATATAATTAGAGAACGGGTAAAGAACTTCATCTGGAAGGAAAACAGTCATATTTAACAAGTTCAAACAGTATTCGTTAACTATCATCAGGAAGGGAAGAAAGAAGGAAATTGCAACACGTTCGCCATTGATTACGATTCTTGGCCATATCCGATAACGTTTCGAGCCATCGATTCGAGCTATCTCTCGAACCCCAACCAGGGAGTCGTGACACACCAACCGATGCTAATCTAGCACAAATATCCATCCCACGACGCCACCTCTGGACTGACCACCCCTCCGCCTTTTCCATCCCGTCCCAGGGCTAGCGAACAGAGACCTGTACGGAAGCCTCTGGGATGACATTCGCAGCACATGTCCAAGCCACCGGAGCCGGTGTTTCCAGATGACGACACTCAGTGAATGGTGATCTCCACTGTGTTCAAACACACGCCGCCGAACCTCAGAATTACTCACGCGATGATGCCATTGAACGCAAGCAATCCTGCGGAGACGACGATGATCGAACACACATAGCCGCCGCACATCCTCAGCTCGGAGAGGCCAGGTTTCACAGGCGTAGAGCAAGATAGCCCGCACCGAGAGCAAGACAGATAATTGTACACAACTGGTTTGCCTTCTTGGATGAACACTACTAACTGAAGTGGAATTAATTTGGCAAGAAGTTCAGGGTGGTTAGATCAAAGCATCGCATGATTCCATGAGATTATTGCTTCTTGATCCCAGATTGTATGTTAGTGCCCTCAGGATACTAAACATCAATTGTTCAAGAATAAGTGAAGTGATTCACTACGTCTCGTGTAACTTGTTGCCTTCCAAATCCTGATTATCAGTAATCTTCCTTAAGTTATTCTGTCACACACACGTAAATTTGTCCACTACATTATCGTCCCATTTCTGTTCTCGTATTTTGAAGTGTACCATTGTAGACCTACACACTTTTCAGTAAAATTCGGTGTTTACTCGCTAGTCTATCTGTCTGTCTGTCATTTCATGAAGATACTGAAGTTTCACCACCATTTTCATAATCATTCATATTGAAGTGGTGGTAATGCATCTCTATCTGACTATTTTTTTATATATATTAACGATGATTATCCTGGAACTATTTTGATTTCATGACTATTTGAAGTTCTATCAATACTCATATCCATATACCGATTTCCTTTTTCATTATTCTTCGTCTTTACTTTGAAGGAGGCAGATGACGCCTTTGTCTTGCCTATGACAGCTGATCTCAGTCAGTCAAGAAAGCTGCTTAACCAACTGAAGTCATGTTTGGTATGTTGTTAGTATTTCTCAAGGATATATCAGTGATTTATGTATATTTATATAATTCTTTCATTATTTATTTATTTATTATAATAAAATACAAACTTAGTACATTATGAGCACTGGGAGATACGCCACATAAATATCTCATCGTTTGTTGGGGTCGAAGGCGGTGTGTGGCGACCGGGCTACTACTACTAATGCCCGGGACGCTCAGATCAAAATAAGATATTTGTTAGACAGTTACGTGTTATTCATAGTTATATAAAGCTTTTAAACTGTAGTTTCTTCGACGATAATAATACCATCATACTTAAAATTATGTTCACAATGAGTTTATTATTGGAGTTTGTTGGAGTATTGGACAGCTGTTTCGTCCTAGTTTGAGACTCCTCATCAGTATGCATCCAGTCCACCTAGGACCTTCTGGTTATAAGACTAGCGAGATCGTAGACCATTAAGCAGCTGGGTCCCACCTGATCCAATGGCCAGTCCATAAATTGTAACTTTTCGATATGTGTTTAGAAAATCTAAGACTAACCCTCGTTTCGGTTCTTCCAATATATCTTCTGTGGCAGCTGCACGCAAATTTGATGATTGATATATCCTTGATGCGTTACAATGCTTGCCAACTGCGTACATGGTTCAGGGATCGATCCCCAGTCGACACACTCCTCTAAAAACCTCGCCTAATTGGCGTTTAATTCGGTAAGGACGGGAGGTTGGGCCCGCTTAAAAAAAGAACACTGCTGTTCTTCAATGCTGAGAGCTTGAAGCCTTATGTTCCACTCAGAACTCACTTCTCATCCCTGTTTTTCTTTTGTCCCATTTTATCTTTTAACTCAGCCAACTACTAGTGCTGCAAAATCACAACATGAGACTATGGAGTTGACAAATTCAGAATTAAACTTTATGGATAAAATGCTTACTTATCGGAGTTTTGTCTTGAACTATATGGATCCTCAGTTACAGGTAAGCAGTAATCAATAGACTGTGGATTTTTTTTATTTCATTCCTTGGTCATTGAGCGAGTAGTTTATCACCATCCAACTTATCCATTCGGAAATATTTTATGTATGTAGATAGATCCTGTTTTCTTTTGCATAAAACTATATACTACTGATTAATTACTATAAGTAGTTGGTTACTCCTTACATCAATCTGTAGTGCTTGCTAGTTAGCCAGATCGAAGTGGTGGTTTTGATCATTTGCGGGTCTAATGTTCCTCAGCGGTGCATCTGGCTCCGTTTACAAAAGGAGTTTAATTGTCCTACTACTTCTTGGGATTTCATCATGAGACTCTTCAAGAGTATGCACCCACCGCCAGGGTTCGAACTCAGGATCTTCTGGTCCCAAGGCTAGCAAGCTCGTAGACTATTAAGCCACTGAGTCCCATCCGATCCAATAGCCAGCTCATGAATTCCAACTCCCGTCAATTTACGATTAGCTTTTCACTGTTGTCCTTTGATTGTTGGTTCAATCCTTCTGTATTCGTTGTTTTTTGCATCTTAGAAACAGGCACGTGAATTAATTCCTAACGAACAGTTACTTTTATCTGCTTGTCAAAATAATGGTTGTTCTGCGGATGAAGTGAAACCTGAAGACTTTCTTCGAGAATTAATGTCTTGGTTCAAGAGTGAATTCTTCAAATGGGCTGATAATTTTGAGTGTCAAACATGTGGGGTAAGTTTTCCCTATATATATATATATTTTTTTTTTTTAAATTTTTTTTATTTTGATTTACAGCTTGATTCCACACCGTATTTTTAGTACAAGTATGGAATTTTCAGCATGGATATCGGTAGCCCAAATTCAGGCCGACCATAGATATCGGGTGTGCGCCGGTAGGGGATCGAACCCCGGACAATGTGCATGGTCGGCGAGAGTCCTAACCACTGTGCCACCGACGCACTCTTTGTAATCGTCATCATCACATTATTGACTATATCATTGTCTATCTGTCTGTCTGTTTTCAACCTAGAAGTTTGTACCGATGTGCAGCAGTTCAAATCGCCACACTCCCGCCATGTAGCACACAAAGCAAGAGAAGAAGGTAAAAAGAAATGCAAAATAGAGACAGTAAACAGAGATATGAGACAAAAAGAATAGTAATATGGAAGAACAATATAGTTTTATTGGATATTGTAAGTCACAAGGAGTGGCTGTATCTGAGCCAGCCATCACTGAGGACGATGTTGAGCCATATCACTGATAATTGTCACCAGCCTTCATTGCTTTTTACCGTCCCGATGACCCTAACCAGCTAGTCAGGAAGTCACCGTATTATACCACCCCTTAACACGAGAGATAGAACTCGGGCACTTGTGATCAAAGACAGCTAGCTAGCTAGTCTTTTCATGTCTCCTACTTTCAATGGCCAATAGTAGGAGTGAATTTGTATTTTTTTGCTATAGTCAACTGTTGTCGACGACATGTATGTGGTGTAACTGTCTGTGCATGAGAATAGTTGTAAGTGATTTTTTTGCGGAGTGGTGGGCGTAACGTATAGTGTATTTTCGGCTGATTTTGCAATTGTTTTATTACGTAGGCATGCATTGTCAGTTTTATTGTTGTATGCATGTAAGTGATTGTATTTTATTGTTGATTGTGTGGTTGGTTGGTTGATTATTTTGTTTGTTTGACTGACTGACTAACTGTTGGATGTCTGGCATTCTGCTGTATAAAACTCACTAGTGTATGTGTATAGCTAGTGAATCCTGTCTACAGCTACAATGACTTGTGCATATTGACAGTGTAAATATGCCTATAATTTCGGATGCAGAGAGACAGTGTGTGTCTGGGCGTGCGTGTGGATGTACGATATGTTATATGATGTGAATGCTTGTCGTGCTGATTCGTCTATTTCTGATTTTGTGTAGATAAGTATGTGTTTATGACAAGGTGAGTAGTGTATGAGTGTGGTTGTTGTTGTTGGCCCGACCGATAGCTGCTACCTTGACGTGGTGGTCGCCGGGCTTGCATATCGCAATGACCCAACAAGCTACACTGGCTGGAACTATTGTTCCTGCAGGCCCTACTATGCCAGGAAGGTTGTTAGGATAGCGATTAGACTAAAAGCTGTTACTGGCTTAGTGTAAGAATTTTTTTTCACACTATGCTGGGGGAGATCTGTGGGTGAAGTCGTACTGCTGGGGAATAGGAATGTGACAGCAGTAAGGTGTTTCCCTCAGATGACCACCGTGCCAACCAGCTATGCTGTTTCTCTACTCTGGAGACGGGAGGGGGTTAGAAAAGGTGGTTAGGACTCTCGTCGACCATGCACATGGTCCGGGGTTCGATCCCCTACCGGCGCACACCCGATATCTATGGTTGGCCTGTAAATTTGGGCTACCGATATCCATGCTGAAAATTCCATACTTGTACTGAAAATACGGTGTGGAATCAAGCTGTAATCAAAATTAAAATTAAATTAAAATTAAAAAATTAAGTTAAAAAAAATTAAAATTAAATTAAAAAATTAATCAAAATTAAAATTAATGAATTAAATTGTACATTCCGACTTACCCTACCATAGTAGTCCGTAACCGTCGGTAAGTCTACTAATACGGAACCAATCCCAGAAACCAGTTCATACAGGCCGTGTGTGACCGGCCTGCCACAAGCAGTTGTCCCCTGGGCTTTGTCGTTGGTAAGTATAATGGAGGCAGTTGCCATAAAGATTTTTCAACCCAATCTCTGTGTTCAGAAAAGGGTTTGTTCAGTCTCTCTCCTTCCCTTGACCTTCACCCCCAACCTAAAATAGTTATCTCTCCCGGTGACGCACCGGATTACTGTAAATATTATCATATTATATTTTTATTATGTCTTATTTATAATGCTAACTGTATTATCAATATAATGCTGTCCGCTGTAGTTGTACATTTAAAACTCCGTTTCACAATTTATCCTTATTATTATATTATCTAATCGCTATGTGACAATAGTTGTTTTCCCCTCTATCCCTCCTACTAGTATACACATTCTCTACCTATACACTCACCATTTTCTAGATTATATAAACATTTGAATCAATTTATCCTTGTTATTATTATTATTATTGTGATCACCTCGATTGTTATCCACAATTAATTCACATCCCACATATCTTATTAACCACATTCATCATTCAAATGCCTTTGACTAATATTCCGTCATTAGGTAAATGTAAAGCCTGATGAGAATTTACCGGAAACACGTATTTGCTAAAATCGTGTTCTCTAATTATATTCTTTTTAAAGTAATTTTTAGTGCGTCGGTGGCACAGCGGTAGAATGCTCGCCAACCACGCGCGCATGTGGTCCGGGGTTCGATCTCCGGCCACAGACGCACTCCTTTACCTCGCTAAGCCAGTAATAAGACTGGTAAATAGGGAAAGTTGGGCTGGCCATGAGGTTAGCAGCCCCATCCTTTAGAAATAAACACCACTGCTACCGAAACTTCAAGCCTTTAGCTTGAAGGCGCCCTATGTTCCACTGGAAACGTAAAGGAATAAAAAAAGAAAAGTTTTAGGCATTTTAGAATCTCATTTCTCCCGATTCCTTTTGCGTTCCTAGTGGAGCGTAGGATTTCAAGGTTGAGCCTTGAAGTTTCAGTAGAACTGGTGTCACTTTGTTTGACGACGGTCGGTCGGTCGGTTTTCGACATAGAACTTTGCACAAATGTGCGGCAGTTCAAGTCGCCACACTCCATGTAGCACACAAATCAAGAGAAGAAAGTAGAAGAAATGCATAATATAGTCAGTAAACAGAGGTGTGAGACAAAGTAATAGTAATAACAAAGAACAAAACAGTTTCATTGGAAATCATAAGTTGTTTCACGACGAGGGGAGGTCGCTCACCCGTCACCCCTAACCTACCCTCTTTGCCAGGTCTACTACTGGATAAGCGAGATTTGGGTGTGTTGGCCGGGAGTCGAACTGCGGGCTGCGTGCGCGGAGTTGGTGAGCATTATACCATTGAACCTGTGGATTGGAAGAAAAGCTACTTATTCAAACTGTCAAAGAAAGTCAACTCAAGAACTGGCGCGGCATTATGCTTTTGTGCATCCTAAGCAAAATACTGAGCCGCATCACCCTGGAGAGAACCAAACACTCCCTGGATGAAAATTTTCGACTGGAACAGGTTGGATTCAGGAGGAACAAGTCATGCATCGATCAAATAGCAACACTGCGGATCATCATTGAACAGAGCTTGGAATGGCAGTCAGCCCTCTATCTCAACTTCATCGACTTTGGAAAGGCCTTCGACAGCGTCGATCGAGAGGTGATTTGGCAACTACTTCGCCATTATGGGTTGCCGCCAACAGTTATACACTTCATCCAACAGTTGTACGACAATGCTGCATGCCAAATAATCCACAACGGGAGACTTACGGAATCCTTCGAAGTGAAGACGGGAATAAGACAAGCTGTCTACTAACTCCAGTGACTTTCCTGATTGCGGTAGACTGCATAATGCGACAGACAGCAGGCAGCGAGGAAACAGGCATAAAATGGACGCACACAAAAACTTGGAGGATCTGGACTTCGCTGATGTGATATATGCCTGACTTCCCACAAACTGGAAGATATGCAAGCGAAAAGCAACAAGTTGTCAGAAGAAGCGTCCAAAGAAGATGGGACTCCAGGTGAAAATAGAGAACTAGAGGTGATGATGAAGATTCCTGGGCAACACCACCAACAGCAACAACAACAACAGACAACAATCAGCATAAATGGAAGGAGTCTGAAAGAAGCAACCTCCTTCACCTACCTACCTACCTACCTTGGAAGCATCGTTTCCATTACAGGCGGACGGAACTAATGAGGATATCAAAGTGCAAGGATCAGGAAAGCAACGCAAGCTTTCATTTCTCTCTACTCTTTGTGGAGGTCAACAGCATTCAGGAAGAAAAATAAGATCCGGATTTTCAATACTAATACACGAATCAGAGACTTTGTGCCGCGCCGCGTCACGAAGGGCACTTCGAACAAACTACAGACCTTAATTAACGGCTGTCTTCTCTCAATGCTACTCAAGATCAGATGGCCGGCCAGAAAAGATCAGCAACAGGGATCTCTGGGAGCGAACCAACCTGGCAGGAAGCAATTGTGCAACAAATATGCAGGAAGAAATGGAGGTGGATTGGCCATACTCTGAGAAAACAAACCATCAACTGAGTGACATCACACGCCAAGCCGTCGCTCGAGTGGAACCCGGACGAGAAGCGGCGAGTTGATCGTCAGTGCGAGGGTGACATGGATAAGGTCATATGAAGAGGAGATTAAAGCATGTGGGTGGCAGACGTGGAGCCAGGTGAAAACGTTGACAGAGAAGCGAACGCAATGGAGACGTGCGGCTGAAGCCCTATGTTCGTCTAGGAACTAAAGAAAACAATAATAATAGTAGTACCATTGAACCACCGAAGTATAGAACCACAGTGTTTTTAACTTATCATAAAATTCTCAAGTATTTTTTCTTCAATATTTCTGAATTTCCTAATATTTCTTCTCCCGTTCTTAATTTCAGAGTAAAATGGTTTCCCATTCCGTGGATCAACCTCGTCAGAATAATAATGAAATGGATGGTGATGCAAATGTAGTCGAAGTCTATGTATGCAAAACAAATCGTCAACATCCAACTTATCGATTTCCACGCTATAACAATCCTAAAAAGTTACTTGAAACTCGTCTTGGCCGATGTGGTGAATGGGCAAATTGTTTCGCTTTATTTCTTGTCTCAGCTGAACGTTCTTCATCTAATCAACCATGGTTTGATGCATGTCGTTTTATTATGGATTGGACAGATCATGTTTGGTGTGAAGTGTATGTTTTAATGAATATTTATATTTTCAATTGAAAGAAATATTGATGAGGCATTTCACGGAAGAGTAGTCAGTCTTTTTTTAGTGTGATATCTATCATTCTTAAACTGTACAATCGCCTATGTATGTGTTAGACTGTCATAGCAACGGCGACTTGTCATCTGAAGTGGTGACAACTAGTGGTGTCCGTCAGCGAGGGATGCCCACTATCCCCATTTCTATTTAATTTCATCATAGGTGTACCAATGGAATTAACCCTAACTGCTGACTTCAGCTACTAAGGGATTGACTTGTCACCACCAGGGAATAATCTCGTTAACTTAGAATATACGCAGATGATATAGTCCTCCCAACTGGGTGAAGACGCTGACAAAATAGAGCAGAGTCTTCTGAACATACCTTGAGCCGGGCAGCAATCTGCGAATGTTTGGCATGCGATTCGCTCCATTTGCCAGATGTAAGATGATGAGGCTACAGGACTGGACTGGACTACACTTACTCCTAGCTTAGAAATAGGGAGTGAAGTGGTAGAGCGAGTTGACTAATTCACTCACTTATTTGGGTAGTTGCATCAGCCAACACCAGTGGGTTGATCGCTGACGAAATCTCAGCACGGATACAGAAGGCTCGTTTCGCATGTACCCTCCAGTGTACGCCGTCTCTGGCTTGGTAGACGTGATATCCGGCTGGTTGGCTATCGACCCAAGGACATGTGTACTGCTCAGCAGTCTGCGCTGTCCTCCTCCTTTATGGCTGTGAGACATAGCCATTTAAAGTGGAAGACATGAAAAGACTAACTAGTTAGCTGTCTGTGGTCATAAGTGTCTGCGTTCTTTCTGCCGTGTAAAGTGGTGGAAAATATTGAGGTTAGGCTTCGGTAGAGTGCTAGGTGAGTGGGAAAGGAAATCCATAGACGAGGCTGTGAAGTTACATCGACTGAGATGGTTAAGACATGTGTTACACATGCATGCCTAGACATCGACTTCCTCGACCGATGGCCAATGTTAGCTGCTGACATAGGATGGATCAGGTTGGAAAAGAGTTGGTTAGTGGTGGGTGGTCAAACCAAAACATGGGTTCATCAGTCAATGAAATAAATCCACAACAGTTAGTTTAAATCAGCCAACCAGCCAGCCACGTCAGGAGGTATAGACTTCTTGACTGCTTGGGGTGCTTGGGACGGTAAAAAGCAATGAAGACTGAAGACCATTATCAGTGATATGGCTCAAGATCGTTCTTAGTGATGGCTGGCTCAGATACATCCACTCCCTGTGACTTGTAATACCCAATGAAACTATATATTTCTTCGATATTACTATTCTTTTTGCCTCATATCTCTTTTACATTTCTTCTACTTTCTTCTCTTGCTTTGTGTGCGACATGGAGTGTGGTGACTCGAAGTGCTGTACGTCGGTGCAAAGTTCTATGTTGAAACCAGTCAGTCAGTCAGTCAGTCAGTCAGTCAGTCAGTCAGTCAGTCAGTCAGTCAGTCAGTCAGTCAGTCAGTCAGTCAGTCAGTCAGTCAGTCAGTCAGTCAGTCAGTCAGTCAGTCAGTCAGTCAGTCAGTCAGTCGGGCAGTCAGTCAGTCAGTTAAAATAACTTAACATAATTAACAGGATTGAGTAGAGCTGTACTCAAATTGCCAGAGGGTCAAGGTTAATATCCACTTCATGAGAAGTAGACATTGGATTGACAAAGACAAGGTATCTAGGGTCGAGACAGATTAGGTCCTGTGTAGATGTAGTAACTGAACAAATGTCTTCTGAATTCAAATTTCAGGATTCAATATATAGAGAGTGCCATAACTTCTGTGGTTTGAAGAAGTTTGATTCTGTACCTTTATGACAAGATTTCCAAAGAAGGGACTAGACACATCACACCAGTTACTAGTGTCCAATCAAAATACCCACTACAGTCCTACAGGAGGTCAATCGCGAGCCCGAATAGCTGGCGCAGTGGTAACATCTCTGACTGCAGGCGGCACTGGGTGACGCGGGTTCGAATCTCAGAAGGGACACATGAGTTCCTCCAAGGTTGCAGATACATCTTGCTGACTGGTGAGTGCCTACTAGCACGAAACCTAGGTCCTGGCAAGGCTTCCTGCCGATTACCTCCAACTATCTAATATCATCAAATCAATGTGCACTGTGATGGCGAGCTACCTTGTGGCATGGTGGCCACATTGAAAACCTGACTGATAGAATTCAGTCTGCACCAAAGAAAGGAATAGACACGCACATCACACTAGTTAGTTACTAGTGTGCAATCAAAACACATTAACCGCATATTTTATATTCATTCGCATTTTTGTCATTTCTTCCTCTGCCATCATTATCACATGCTTTTCTTATATAAAGCTGGTTAGAGGATAAACGCACTAAACGTAAACGTTGGATGCATTGTGATCCATGCGAGGGTCAATTGGACAAACCTTTGTTATATGAATCAGGATGGAATAAAAAAGTGAATTATATTCTGGCGTATACAGTGCCACCACGTCAAATATCCAGTAATCAATTAACATCTATTGATATACAAGATGTGACATGGAGATATACACAGAATTTTTCAGAGGTAAACAAAACGTCTTTTATTTTCTTCCTTGTTGAGTGTGTGTTTTTTAAACTGTATTTTCGTGTGACTACTCTTACTCTCTCTAACTGGTTGTGAATGGGTAGTTTAACACGGCTTTTATTTATTATTTGTCCAAAGACAAACTTAGTACATTATTAGGGACCAAGAGATGTTTTGACGGCAAGACTGAAGCTGGCAGTCGTCCAAAAGGACCATCCACCGAGAGCCACACAGGCTTCAATAGCCTTTCTCGCCTTTCCTTGAAAAAAATGCAAAAGAAAAGTCAACATCTATCCCTTGTCACTCAATATCAGTGTCTGTAAGTATGGTATGTGCTTTGCGCCGTCTAAGTGCAAAGTACTGTTACAAGATTGGCAGGAGCCTGTACCTGCTGCACTCACTCCTGCGGGTGAACCGCTTGAAGTTGTTGATAGGTTTGTGTATCTGGGTAGTTGTGTGAGCGCTGGCGGAGGGGTGACGGATGAGATTTCCAACCGTATAATGAAGGCTAGGGTGGCATACACCAACTTGAGCCACCTCTGGTGCCGTTGCGACGTTAGCCTGGCTGTCAAAGGTCGGGTATACAATGCTTCAGTGCGGGTTGTCTTGCTGTACGCTTGTGAAACCTGGTCTCTCCGAGCTGAGGGCGTGCGGCGACTCTGCGTGTTCGATCATCGTCGTCTCCACAGGATTGCTTGCGTTCAATGGCATCATCGCGTGAGTAATTCTGAGGTTCGGCGGCGTGTGTTTGAACACAGTGGAGATCACCATTCATTGAGTGTCGTCATCTGGAAACACCGGCTCCGGTGGCTTGGACATGTGCTGCGAATGTCATCCCAGAGGCTTCCGTACAAGTTTCTGTTCGCTAGCCTTGGGACGGGATGGAAAAGGCGGATGGGTGGTCAGTCCATGACGTGGCGTCGTGGGATGAAGGATATTTGTGCTAGATTAGCATTGGTTGGTGCGTCACGACTCCCTGGTTGGGATCCTTGAGATAGCTCGAATCGATGTCTCGAAACGTTATCGGATATGGCCAAGAATAGTAATCAATGGCGAACGTGTTGCAATTTCCTTCTTTCTTCCCTTCCTGACGACAGTTAACGAATACTGTTTGAACTTGTTAAACATGACTGTTTTTCTTCCAGATGAAGTTCTTTATCCGTTTTCTACATATATTTTTATTTTTAATCTATGTTGTTTTATTATTATTGTGTGGCACATCTTTCTTGGTGCTATATTGTACCAAGTTTTTTTCTTCTGCGTTTAAATAATAAATAAATAAATAAATAAATAATGTCACTCAATTTACTCTGAGTCATGTGTTGCATAACTGACTCACAAACATTCTATACTGACCGGAATCACACCCTCAAAGTACATTATATCAACCCTTGGGCATGCACATATGATTAAACAATAGTACTTAGTGATTCCTTCAAGTCTGTGACGAACTTGTGCCCTTTCCTACCTCTTGAACTATTGTCATCTTTCGTCTCAGACTTACTGGGAAGCTCAGAATTGAGCTGTCTCAACTCCTCCTCTAGTTCTAGCTATCCGGTCAGTTTATCCACATATTGTAAATTAGATGAGAAATCTTTATCAATAAATACTACAGCTATTACATAAACCATGCGAGCGAACACAGACATTGGTAGCACTCACTTCATCAATAACTTCATTAGTGAAAGAATTAAGTAAAACCAAATCATCTGACAGCGGTTTGTTCTTTTGTCTCTTAGCTAAACATAGCCAAGAAGTACGCCTGGATTCCGGTTCTTCGGATATAGTTTCCAGATTTTTTTAAATTTTTGATTACAGCTTGATTCCACACCGTATTTTTGGTACAAGTATGGAATTTTCAACATGTGATATCTGTAGCCCAAATTTTGCAGGCCAACCATTGATATCAGGTGTGCATCGGCAGGAGATCGAACCCAGGACCATGTCCATGGTCGGCGAGAGTCCTAACCACTGTGCCACCGACGCACAGATATGGTCGATATCCTATTGTACCTTGCGGGGTGTTTAAAGCCAGAGATAAAATATTCACACAGACAAAACTCCAAAAGCCAACTCAAACAGGTTGTGCTTGCCAGACCTCAAGCAGTTGTTCAGTTTATGTAACGCTTATGAGATTCTATTTCAGGTACTCTAAGAAGAAATCAAATTCTATGGAGAGTGAAAACCGCCTATACAATTCCATAAGTATACAAGGCTCTGCTTATCATCAACCACCTGTGAGGGTTACTGGTACCGCCAGGCTACCTGAAGGTCGGTGGGTGGGTGGGACTGAGTTTGAACTTGTCACCCAATAACTGGAAGTTGAGTGCCCAAAATGAATAAGTTATAGCTTCTCAAGTCATTTAGTAATATCAAGTTTAATCACTGAAAATTAGGAAGGAGTACTGGACAGCTGTTTCGTCCTTTTGTTGAACTCTTCATCGGTGTACACCAATGACTTCACTAGGGATTGGACCCAAGACCTTCAGGTTACCAACTGAACTCGTTGACCATTCGGCCAAATGGAACGAAATCGATTGCACAGCGCAACCGCCAGCCAATATCGTTGGTGAGTATTTGTCCTCGTATTCCGCATCCTGGACCCCGTTAGTCACAGCATCTCCCTAGAACTCCAGGCGACTTCATCCTGTTGTCAGTCACCAATGAACATCAGAGTAATTTCCAAGTGTCGGTTTGTAGGGATTTGATTGACTTAGTTGTATTCAGATTGCAGCTAAAAGAAGACCAACCGGTCATTAATTTTCCACTTGGTTACTTGTAAATTCGTTCATAGCTGTCCAGTACTCCTCAGGTTTTCCAATGGTTCTTTAACCGATGTCAACTCCTGATGAAATCGGTCTGAGGGTTTCATCCAAGTTTCATCCTAGTTTGGGACTCTTCAGCGGTACGCACCCACACCATCGGGGTTCGAACCCAGGACCTTCTAGTAACAAGGCTAGCAAGCTCATATAACATTAAGCCGCTGGGATCCGCCAATCCAATGGCCAACTCATGAATTCTAACTTCTGCCAATTCATGACATAGTGCGACCACTTCGCAATGTCTTCTTCGATGAGTTACTGTATGATGAAATCCTTTAACCAATCAAATCCCTGCAAACCATCACTTAAATAAATCTGCTGACGAGTAGAGAAATACTGCCAAACGACTGTTCAGTGGTCTTTGGATTGACATGTTTGTTATTCAAACTTCTCTATTATATATATGTGAACGCATACTTTTTTCACTCATGCTTTGAATATCTTTTTTCTCCATTTCCAAAGTAGGTACGGTCACGTCGTAACCTGATTAGGGAGTCTGTATTAGCTGCGAAACTAGCAAATATTCACAAAGATGCTGTACAAAGCTGGTCATCATTTCTCAAAGAGACAACACACAGTAATGAGAATCCATTTTCGTGGAAATCTATTCTTAACGAATTGATATCATTTTTAAATCCACCAAAATCGACTGGCCAGCTTCCAGGTCGTCAGACTGGATCATTAGAATGGCGTGCAGCACGTGGTGAATTAGGCCAGCAGGCATCATCTGGATCATTGGAATCTCCAACTAAGGGGTGAGTTTAATCCTTGTTTTGCACTGTTACTATTATTATTATTTTTATCTTGTTATCATCATAGCATATTTACCTGCTTAACACGCGAGACGTCCTGGGATCGTTGCCCAGGTAGGTACTCCACAACTCACACCTCGTCTCTACCCTCAAGGCGGTGACAAGCATTTTGCGTAAGTAGTTCGGCAGTAAAATATACCCGCAAACTATGCACGTGGTCTGGGGTTCGATTCCCCGACGGATTCCTTCCGACGTACTCCTGCACGTCGCTTAATCGGTAATGAGACAGTTAAAGAAAGAAGGTTGAGTTATGGGGTTAGCAAAAAAGAAACATCCCTGCCACGGAAAATTCAAAGCTGAAACCCTGAAGCTCCTTGTTTCACCCGGAACACAAATGACTAAAATAAATGAAGCAATAACAATTATGTAGTGTGATGAAAATTTAGTCAGATATTCTGTTCAAAAGTTCAGATAATTTAGAAGAGATGAAATCAGTGTGATTTAGAGTGTGTCGTTGCAGCATTCTCGAGTTGGAAGGAAGTGTGTGCGTGGTTTCGTCTGAAATTCTTCTTATCCGTTCCTTTCTTCCCGAGTGGGACATATATGATCTCAGCGGTACTGAAGTTCGGCCAGGAAGGCAGCAGGATCAGAAGGATTCCCCCAGAGACTGCAACAGATGTTCTCACACTATTATTGCAAAAGGTTTGGAGGTTTGAAGGAAAAGTGCCTTCTGATTGGAGGAAAGGCTAACTTGTCAAGCTACCAAAGAAAGGTGACTTAGTACACTGCAAGAACTGACTGGTGTGGAATAATACTGTTGTCCACGCCAAGTAGAATACTAAATCGCATCATCCTGGAGAGAATAAAACATGCACTGGATGCAGAACTCCGCTCAACAGAACAAGCTGGATTCAGGAAAGGTAAATTACGTGCTGATCAAATTGTCATCACAGAGTAAAGCATAGAATGTCAGTCAAACCTCTACCTCAATTTCATCGACTTCGAAAAAGCCTTCGACCAACAGCGTTGACTGAGAAGAAATTTGGAAACTATTTTAACACGATGCAGGCCGGTGCCCCAAGTCTTTATCAGCCTCATATAACAGCTGGCTATATGACAATGCCTGCCACGTATCAGGTGATCTACAACGGAAAAATGAGCGAGGTGTTCGAATTGAATGTGCTGTCTACTATCACCGATGATATTCTTAATTGTGGTGAAGTGGATTAAATGCGTCAGTCTGTGCATGAGGTTGAGAAGGCAGGAATATGCTGAACTGACCGATAAGAAGACTCTAAAAGACCTGGATTTCGCTGATGATTTATGTCTCATGTTACACAAACTCGAAAACTTATGGGCGAAAACCAACAAACTGTTCGAAGAGGCGAGGCGAGCAAGCAAGCAGCGAGACTGGGTTCCAGGTGAACATAGAGAAGATGGAGGTGATGAAGACAGTCAACCACCACTAACAGCAACAGTAACAACAACCAGTACCAGTCACCATCAACGGGAGAAAATTGACAGAGGTCACCTCCTTCACTTATCTAGGGAGCATGGTTTCAACAACAGGCAGTTGGAATGGATGAAGATTTCAAAAATTGGAAACATTTATTTCCTGATACGAATTTAAAACAAGCAATAAAGGTTAAAAAAACAGGATTTAATGAATTCATCAAATTCCGGTAGAACTCGTCAGCTGAATACTCTACATACACGGATATATATACTTTTGGAATTACATTGGGAGATATAGGACTGATAAGTAAACAAACTACATTGAATTAGTCATGCAGAAAGACAGGTGCGAATATTTTCCCAGGTCATGTTCAAATAGATAAGGGGAGAGAAAGTATGAGAGATCAAAATTAAGATAAATTGCATTACGCTTCAATTACATCACTTAGATAAACAATTAGACATTAGAGAATATAACAAGAATTGCAAACAGAGTAATATTACTAGTAATAGTTATAATAATCATAACAATAATAATGATTTTGAAGTGAGTTAAGATAATCCTACTGATAAAGGATAGTTTTAAATGAATCAAGAATAATAATGAGAATAATAATAATAATAGGTAGAATTATAAGTAAAACGTATTACCATAGTAGGTTGAGAGTCACGACCATCTCCTTTTGTACACAGAGACCTGGTTTGTAAACTCGAATTGCACAAGCCTCTGCAGTTGCAAGCATCTTCTTGTTTCTTTGTCTTCTGACAATGGTGAATGACTTGACCGCGTCGATATCATGTCCGTAATCCACAAGATGCTTTGTTATTGAGGATTTTGGCACTTAACACTCTCTCCACTTATCTATTTGAACATGACCTGGAAAAACATTCGCACCTGTCTTTCTGCATGACTAATTCAGTGTAGTTTGTTTACTTATCAGTCCTATATCTCCCAATGTAATTCCAAAAGTATATATATCCGTGTATGTAGAGTATTCAGCTGACGAGTTCTATCGGAATTTGATGAATTCATTAAATCCTGCTTTATTAACCTTTATTGCTTGTTTTGAAGATTTCAAAGCCAGCCAGAATCGGGAAGGCAAGTTTTTCCTCCACATCAACCTGAAACCAGTTTGGAAATCTTCTGCAATTAGCATAAAAAACTGTATTCAGATGTTCAACACAAAAGTCAAGTCAGTCCTGCTATATGGGTGAGAAACTTGCACTGAGCGTCACGAAGAGGATTTCCAACAAGTTGCAGTCTTTTGTCAGTAGCTGCCCTCTTCGTTGGCTGGCTCCATATTGAAGATCAAATGGCCAGTGGGGAAGAATTAGCAACAAGAAACTCTTCGGTGGAACAAAC